TTGTTTTACATTGACTTCATCTTTAGTTTGAAAACTTTAAATCAAAACATAGAGTAAGTGTAAGACTAGTGATGAGTAAAGATCCTATATTCGAGTTCCAAACTATTGGCTTAGGCCCTCGTCGTAGGCAACCATCGGATTAAATTAAGGAAACAGATATCTCTTTTTCTCTCGTGGAGTAAACAGTGTAGGATGGTTTATATGTAACCGAGAGCTTTGGCCTAAGACCTTTACCGTGACTCGACGAATCCCATTCCGAACTTAAAACAAACGAAGAGATATGTGAATTACACGTGGCATTTCGAACTATACGAAGAGATATGTGAATTACACGTGGCATTCCGAACTATCTCATGATTTCTCATCGTTATCGTAACGTTTGATACTTTGGTTGGCTAAAGGTAGCGCGAGAAAACATTGTGTCGTTTTTACTCTTACGGAAGTATCTAGAAATCTCCGTGTTGGACAAGGAATGGTGTGAAAGACGTGGAAGGACCAAACAGAACTGCGTGTCGTTTTCGTGATAAGAAGTAGAGAAGTAAAGCACGGCAATACTGTGAGGTGCACGAGGAGGTAAGAGACCAGAGAGTACGAGTTGGTACGGAACTTTTGTGTAATTTCTCTGTTTCTTATGTTTACAAAAAGTTTAGTGTTTTTAATTTAATCAAATCAAAATTTTATAAATTCTACACTGACGTCTTCCACTTGACACTTTACGACAATCACACAATTAAATACAGTAAAAATATTATTATTCCCCATCACGGGCACAACAAGATCTGCTCTGTTTTCACGCAGATACATTATTGCGTGATAAAATATAATGCTGAATTTTCGAGACAAAGCATAACAGAATTTACTAAAAAAAGACCATAATTTGCGCCAACAATTTGCGAAAATTTATCACTTGCACCACTTGAAAGCAAGCAAGAAACAAGATTATCACTTTTACAAAAATCAAGAATTGAAACTTTTATTATTGCTGGTGAAAAGGAAAGGAGGAGTTTGATGAATCAGAACAT